AACGGTGTTGTATTTTTATAGGATAGTACACTATTCAAAAAAAATTTTTTTAGTCTTTAATTAGTCTTTTAAATATACTATTTTAAAATATAAAGTAGTATAAGCTGTTTAATGGTTTCTAATGTTTAAATATATAAATTTTAAGTTAGAAAAAAGGAAATATGAAATAATATGCTTGATTTATTATTTTCAAATATTGTAAACAATTGTGATACACCTAAGCCTTGAGGTCTTTATTTCCAGGATAGTGCTACACCTCAAATGGAAGGTTTAGTTGAATTACACGATAATATTATGTTCTATTTAGTTATAATTTTATTTGGTGTAGGTTGAATAATGATATCTATTGTAAGAAATTACACTAGTAGAAAATCACCTATATCTCATAAATATTTAAACCATGGTAAAGTTGTGCCTGCTCAAAAGTGTTTTAAGTTTAATAATATAATTTGTATAAGGTCTTATAGTACCTCTTCTTCGAAGGTTAACTGTGCAAAATATTACGAAGATGCTTTTGATATGATAAAAATAATTATAAATGATAATAAAAATATGTCTGGTATTTATAAATGATCCAATAAAATAACGAAAGATATTTATGTGGGTCAATCCATAAATTTAGCTAAAACATTTATTAAATATTTTAATCTTAGTTATTTAAAAGATAGAGAAAGTATTGTAATAAGTAGTGCTTTAATAAAATACGGATATTCGAATTTTTCATTAGAAATACTGGAATACTGTGATATAGATCACTTAACTGAAAGGGAACAATACTACTTTGATAATTTAAATCCTCGCTATAATACTTTAAAAATAGCGAGTAGTTCTTTAGGCGATAAGCCTTCTCTTGTCCGTAAAACAAAAATTAGGTTGGCTTTAAAAGGAGTTTATGTTAAAGAAAAATCCCCTATATATGGTAGTACACATACCGAGGAGACTAAAGCACTTATGTCTTTAAAAAAATCTGGGTCAAATAATCCTCTATTTGGTAAAACACATAATGATGATACTAAAGAGTTAATGAGACAAATAGCTTTAGGCAGAAAACATTCTCTTGTAACTCGATTAAGCATGAGTG